GTTGCAAATTCAGTTCAAAGTGCAAAAGTAGTTTTTACTCAATAAACTCAGCAGGGGAAAAGACATGATGGAGCAGAATCTTGCCCTTCCTTGTAAACTCAGGCAAAAGCAAACTGATAGTCTCTCCTAGCTTGTGTCTTCTTCCCCATTAATCACTTTTGCTGTCTTGTCCACGCTCTGATGTTGCTTGGCCATTCATATTCTGGTTTTCATCTGTGAAATGTTGGAGGGTATAGTCCAATAGCAATGTATTGTAGACTGCCCTGTTGCTTTAATAGCCCAAGGGCTTACATGCTCTCCTTCACAATTCTAGCACTATTATTCCACTTTAAATGCCATTGTTCCACCCTATGGAATCCCAGGATTTACAGATGAGAGAGGGGTGCTGTACTTAGAATTCTCAGCCAGAGAGCTCTAGTGTCCCTGACCAAAGTACTAACCACAGGATTCTGTAGGGAGCTACCATGGCAGTTAAAATGGAATCATATAGTAATAATTGTATAGCGTGAAAAGGCTCTAACTACCTGTTACATAAATGTACATTTCAAACTCTCCCAATTTCTTTTGATGCTGAATTAGAAATGACTCAATTGTACAAGCAAGTCAACTCACTGAATTATGAACAAGTATGTTTGAATGGTTCCAGCACTCTGTTATGCCATTTAAAGTTGTCAGAAAGGTTAAAACAGTGAACTTCAGTTTGTGGCTTCTCTTCTGGGATTTGTTCCAGTGAAAAGGATTTTTGGAGGTCAGAATAGCCAAAAGTGTAATCATAGGTGTCTAATGTGATGCTATAGACCAGGGACAAAGAGTGTGTTGGTTTTCCAGGTGTTTCAGGATGGCAAATTCCACGGAACCATGGGAGGTGTAATTCAAAACATATTGAAGACCAAAGGTCTAGTGCTGCTATAGGTGGTCAAGTGCAGTCTTCTCCTGCCTGATGCCCTCCAGATCTCTTTGACCATGACTGCCATAATCCCATAGATGGTAAAGGTGGCATTTGACAATATAAAACATGTCACAGTGTGCATATGAACCATGGACTTTCTCATCAACCCCCTTGTGACACTGAAAGAGGAAGCACTTGTCTCAAGGGCACCTCATGAATGCTGAAAGCAGTGTTGATTGTTATGTAGTTGTCATACTACTCAGCCTTTGTACAATATTTTTAAATTTATAGAAGTAATATTGTGTACATTCGTGTTATAACTAAAGGTTGTCATCCATATCCTCTAGGTATACAGAACTTATCGTTCTTTCATGGAAAACAAAAAGGGAGAGATGTTGGTTGGTAAGTCCATCTTGCCCAAAATCCATGTTCCTGTTATGTTCTGGAGAGTTATATGTTGTTTCCTCTTCTTTTTTGCTCTTTTACTTTATTAAGATAAAAATTTAGATTTATAGGAGACAGCTATTGGCAAACTTTTCCCTCTCTTCATTAAAAAAAATCAATAGTGTTTTTTTTTCTTTGTTTCATTCTTCTGATAACAGTTGCTCAGAGAAAATTACAAGTGATTTTAAAAGTTTAAAAACTAACAGCCTTAGGCTGTAATCTAATGTATCAGGGATGGCTCTTCAAATGTTGTTGAACTGTATTTCTCATCAGCCCTGGACAGAATATCCAGTGCTGAGGAATGCTAGAAATTTCAGTCCAATAATATCTGGATAGCTGCGTGATCCTCCTCCCCCAAATCCTACACACTTACTGGAGAGGAAACTGCATTCAGTGCCCTGAATCATTCTACTCAGGTTTTTTAAAAAGTAATTCTGGAGGGAGAGGGGTGTTTTTAAAGTTTTTTTTCCCCCTATGGAAGGAAGAATTAAACTTTTCTTCTCCATCTGTGATCCCAATTTGAGTCACCCCATGCTTACTTATAAGAGAAAAAGTACAGATGTAACTTCACATTATGTTTTTAAATTAGCATGCAGTTTGACTCTTACATTTTGCTTTGGCTTTGAAAGGGAACTATATAACAGGGAAGAGCAAGTCTATCAAGAGCCTTTGCTCTAGTTTTCTCAGTGAAAACACTGACAAATTGAAGTAATTTTTATCTACAGAACAATTAACATTCAAATCACACTCAGGAAAAATAGAGGCTGTATCTACACTGCAGGATTAATGCAGTTTCACACTGCTTTAACTGCCATGGTTCAACTCTATGGTATTCTGGGATTTGTAGTTTTGTGAGATATTTAGCCTTCTCTGTTTTCTGGTGCCACAACAAATTATGAATCCCATTTTTCCATAGCATGGAGCCATGACAAGTAAAAGCATTGCAGCAGCCTATGTCTCACCAAAGGCAGACAGCTCAAATTTAACCAACCATTTACTACCCAGAAATATTCAACCAGGTGGCTCTTCAGAAATGCTAAATAAGAATGATTTCTAACATCACTTCTCACTAGCCTATTCTCCCACACACACACACACACACACACACACACAGAGAATCATATATACACTCATTGTCATAATGATTTTCCAGGATGGGCCAAACTGACTGGCTGATGGAGCTGACTCACCCTGAAGCACAGCAATGGTGGGTGAATGTCTATGTCCAGGACTTAGTCAGAGCAGGGATGGCAGGCTAAAATTAATGTAATTTTCCTCAAGAGTCCTTTTCTGCAGCATATGAACTCCAGCATATCTCTCAGGCTCAGACAAAACCCTAAACATGGGCAGGAAGTATAGATGGGGACACGTTATTTTTGTTAGGGATATGGTATCATTCATATACATGCATAATGCTATGCTATACACCACAAGAGAGAAAAGAAGGGAGCTTAAAATGAGAGAGGAAAGGGGGCTAATGGGAATAATGTTCTAATATCTATAATTTTATCCTGTTTGGAAATTAATCCTATTTGGAGATAAGTCAACTTCACATAAGATACTCAGAAGACACCAGAACCCATCATATCTTGGAAGCCAAGCTGAGCCAGAGTTGGTTAGTCCATAGAAGTGGAACCACCAGGAAATAACAGGATATATTCAGAGGAAAGCAATACCAAACCATCTCTGAGTATTCCTTGCCTTAAAAAACCCTATGCATTTCATGGGGTTGCCATAACTGACTTGAAGGCTCATACTTTATAACATGACACAGGCAGGAAGAGTAAAAAGGAGCTGCTGTTAACCCTCTTCTTCCAAGCTGTGCCCCCAGTCTAATAGTCCATATTTTAGCTTCCCCCACCCAAGAAACTAGAAATCCATTCAAGTATCCCTGATGCCATGCTTAGTCTAGCTGTCTCTCTAAATATAGGTTCGCCAACACGGGCTTATGGTCTTGATGTTATGAAATAACATCAAGACCATAAGCCCATGTTGGCGAACCTATGGCATGCGTGCCATCTCTAGCACGCGAAGCCATTTTGGAGGGCACGCGGAAAAACAGGAGGGTGAGGGAAGAGAAGGAACAGACATGCGCCTGCTCCTCCTCTTCCCCTGCCCTCCCATTACTTCAACTGCCTCTCCAGAGACAGTTAAAGGCAAGGGAGGACAGGGAAGAGGAGGAACAGGTACGCACCTGTTCCTTCTCTTCCCCTACCCTCCTGTGCCTTCAACTGTGCAGAGGCAGCTGAGGGCCCGGGTGGGGGAAAGAGAAGGTTCTGCACCCAAGAAGGTGGACGTCCCACCCCCAGAACTCCCACCTGCTTCCAGAAGTCCCCCCCCCCCAGAACCAGGTAGTACCCAATGCTGGAACACCTATAAGTTTGGGCACTCGGTCTCTAAAAGGTTCACCATCACATCTCTGTTCCTCTCCCTAACAATAATATCTGCTACCCATTGTGTTTCTTTGTGGGAATGGTTAAGACAAAGTTGGGAATGAGTAATTCTTCCAGTGTTGTTGGACTACATATCTCATCAACCCCAGCCACCATGAATAGCAGTGAGGAATGATATAGCAGTTCATCAATATGTGGATTTATTTCTCAGTCTCTGATCTAAGGCTTTCTTTTACATTGACAGTAAAGGCAAAACTTATATAAGGACCTTCTAAAATACTATATAAATGTGTAAACTTTCATCAGAATAGATGGTACAAAAAGCAATGGATGGGGGAAGAATCAGAAAATCATACATACTCGCACATGCACACACACACACTTCAAGTCCAAAAGTCTGAAATCCCAGTTAACTCCTTTTGTGATTCAATCAAACCCCTTCTAGGATAAATCCTTTTGGAACAATTCTAACATATTTTTCCAAAAATTAGGCTCCAAAAATACACTTAATTCCCTACAAACCATGGATGGAAATTGTATGGTCTTTCAGATGCTGTTGGGCTGCAGCTCCCAGCAGTTCTCCTTACCATTGGCTTTGCTGGTTAAAGCTCCTGGAAGCTGCAGTCCAGCAACATCTGGAGAGCAACATAATTTCCACCACTATTCCAAAGAAACAATGAATGTTGTTGGAAATTCTTTCATAAGTGCTACAAATACAGTCAGTTCCTTCAGTTTCTGGAAAAAATGAGAAGAGAAAAAACATTATGAATTTATAGAAGAGGAAGTTTGAGGTAAGAAGTAGAAAACATTCTCTAACCAAACACACATACTAGGAGTGTGTGTGTATGCCTTCAACTCACCTGTTGACTTATGATGACCCTATGAATTTCATAGAAATTTCTTAGGCAAAAAATACTCAGATGGTGGTTTTGCCAGTTCCTTCTGCTGAAATATAGTCTATAGCACTTGGTATTCATTGGTGGTCTCCCATCAAAGTAGTAACGGGTTGAACCTGCTTCGCTTCCAAGATCAGATGGGAACTAATGTCTTTAGGATATTGAATACATACCAAGAAACCTACAGCCTAGCATAAGCTTGTTGTATTAAAAACAATGTGAAAACAGATTGAAAAGGGTTTCTTGTTGTGTGCCTTCATGTTGTTTCTGACTTACGGCAACCCTCTCACAGGGTTTTCTTGGCAGAGGGGGTTTGCCATTGCCATCCTCTGAGGCAGGGAGAATGTGACTTGACCAAGGTCACCCAGTGGGTTTATATGGCTGAGCCGGGATTTGAACCTGGTCTCCAGAGTCATAGTCCAACACTCAAACCACTACACCACACTGGCTCTCTTAAAGCAGGGTAGTAAAGCCTTTTATTCTAACACTGAAAACTTTAAATTCAGATGAAAGTTATCATTTTTAAGGAAAAAGTGGGGACACTGAAGGGCCTAGGAAAAATCCAGTATTTTGGGAAACAATTTGATCAAGAGATGTTATGAGGGTGGAGGCTGAGGGTTCACAGTGAAGGGAACAAATCTGTTCAAAAGGACAACAAAAACAGTCTAAGATGTTTCAGTAAAAATCACTTAATGTATTACATCATCTGAATTAAATCAATTTTTTAATATTAATATGTCTGCCAAATATTAGTCAGATATTCCTATGCCATTTAGTCCTTGGCAAAAAAAGTTGGCTCTATGGAGTTTATCACATAAGGGAAATTCCGTGCAGAAACAGGGTTTAAAATTGAAAAAAACCCGCAAAAGCAGGCAGATTTTCAGATGACGTCGCTGTTAAAATGGAGTTAAGCCAAATGGAAAGTAGTCAGAAACTGCTTCTTTTTACTTTCGGAAAATCCCAAAAGTAAAAAAAAGCAGTTTTTGACTACTTTCCGTTTGGGTTAACCCCATTCTAACAGCAATGTGTGTGAAAATCTGCCTGCTTTTGCGGGTTTCCCCCACCTTTTAAATCCCGTTTCTGCTATGTTTTCTTTCATATTCCCAATAACTTGAAAAGGTAGAAACATACAGTGTAATGAGAAACATGTTTACTCAGACATACATCCCATACTGAACTCACTGGGGCTTACTCAGTAAAGTTTGCTGAGGACTGCACAACAAGACCATGAGCCAGAGGTAAGCACTTCTAGACTCCTGTTTTTAGTGATAGAGATATGAGGACATGTTTCAATTTTCTCATTGCAATCAGTTGGATTACTGATTGATTCATGCTCCTGCAGAAGTTTTAAAATAATTGGTTAATCTTCTGTTAAGAGTTATTACAAAAAGGATTAAAAATAAAACAGCAAGTATGATAATCCTGTATTAGCACTGGCTGCCTACCTCAGGCATGGGGCTGGCACTGAAATGAGCATTCTACTTGTTAAATTCCCTCCTAAAATCATATCCTCCAGTATCTCAGTACCTTCAGTATCCCACAGTTATCTAGAACCTCCATTACTTCACAGATGAAAACACTGAGGTGTGCCAAAGATGATTTGAGCTTCATGACAAATATCAAGAATGGCCCCTTCCTACTGTAACATATACTATTGTTTGTTAGAAATGATTATTTTATTTGTTGCTGTGCTCTCATATACACAATTCCTAACATTATTTACATCACCAACATAAAACAATAATCCAATCCAGCAAAAATACAGCCATGCAATATATGAGGGAATTTTTGCATGCCCTTCTTGCCGACTGCATGCTCCTTCAATTTATTCTTCTGTAGCCTGCCCATTTAAAATGTGGGATGGGGTTGTAGAAAACCAATCGCAATATGTTATTCACAGTTTGAAATATCTGTCAGACAGCGGCTGTGTACTTCAAGGTGATCCAGTTTTCATAGAGAAGCACTGATATGTCTAGTGCAGGGGTAAGCAAAATATGGGCTGCATGCAACCCTTGGGGCCCCTAAGTGCAGCTCACAAGCCCCCCAGAAGCCCCAAAAATATTATTGGTGCTAATTTGGGGTGATTTTCTGCCCCACAAACCAACCCATTTCTCCCAAAAAGGCAACAGTTTATAGGTGTTTGTGGGGGTTTTTGGCTATGAGGCTGTGTATCCCTGATCTTTCACCTGCATCAGATTCTCTGAAGATGCTAGCCACAGATGCAAATGAAATGTCAGGAATACATTCTTCTAGAATACAGTCCAAAAAACCCACAAGAACCTATGGATGCTGGCCGTGAAAGCCTTTGACTTCACAGGCAACAGTTTGCTCCCTAACCCCATCAGCCCCTCACCAGCCTCCCCCAAAACAGTAAAATGAGGTAAAAATTGGCCAAAATGGCAGTTATAAATGACTTCAGGTTGCTGCAGCCCACCAAGTGGGTACAGAAAGGAAAAGTGACCCTTGTCCTGTTTGCAGTTGCCCATCCATGCTCTAGAGCAGGGGTCCCCAGACTTTTTGATCTGGGGGCCTGTTCGCTGGCCCCCAGAGCTTCTGGGAGGGCGGAGGCGTGCGCGCATGCACCCAATTCCAGATGTCATTTTGTCTTCCAAAATGACACCCGGATTTGTGCGCATGTGCAATGCCACGCGCATGCGCACGACTCCAGACACCATTTGGGAAGCCAAAATGGCGTCCGCCGGCGGGCCCGAGCAGCGGCGATGGCGGCGGCAGTGGCGGGCTGGTAGGAAGGCCTCGGTGGGCCAGGTCCAGCCCATGGGCCATAGTTTGGGGACCCCTGCTCTAGAGATAGAAGTAATCCCTCACTGTATTTGAGGAACCAAGCAGGAGGACTGAGGAGTTATCTACATGGGTGATTTACCTCAAATTCCCCCTGGACTCACTGTGTTCTATTTATATGACACAGGCAGATCCAGACTGTCTTCACAATGCCTGTACCCGATTCAGGGCTTCCTCCTCATAACCTGCATTTAAATAAATCACCTTTTGCTGCAGACTTTCGGGTCTCTTCCCAGCAATGATGTTGAGCTGCCCAACAGGGCAATGCAGGCACAAGTCACTCTCAGGTCTGAACAAGGTGACCAGTGTCAACAACTAACAAAAAGAGTTCTTCTTACAGTAAAAAATGAGGCAACAATAGCAACTTAACACCTGATAGCTATAAAGCAACACTCAAATTATTCTGGTTCACACTTAGCTAGGAAAGCACTCCACACTCAGGTGTAGTTCCTCTTTGTGGTTGAACTCCTGGACACTAGGAGGGTTTCACTACCCTGGCCTGGTTTAGAGGTCCCTTTCAATTTCTAGGAAACCAGGTTGAGGAAACCAGGATTTGGGTGCCAGACTGACTCAGGAGATTGACCCACTGTTTTGGGCAGGGGTAGGCAACCTTTCCCCTTTAAGGGCCAAAATACTTCAGCTCCCAGAAGCCTCAGCCATGTTGGCCAGTAGTCCCATGTTGGCCAATAGCTCCTGGGATTCTGGGAGCTGAAGTCCCTCAGCCCTTAAAGGGGAAAGGTTGCCTACCCCTGGTTTAGGGGGACTGGGTGTGTGGCTGATATGGCCACCAAAACCATTAATTTGGGCACCTGAACCATCTTGGAGCAATGAGGGTTACTTTCTCTCCCCAATCTGTGTCCTTTCTGACCTCCTTGGCTGTACACAGAAGCCAAAGTAACCAAGGATGTTCCAGAGTATCCACAAATTCTGTCTCTTTCTTTATTGTGGGAGGCAAAATTTGCAAGGCAGGCAATGCTGGATGTGGGAAAGAGGGCCAAGTCTGCACTCCCCAATCTGTTCTACCTTGGACCCATCTCAGAGCCATCCTACTACCTGATGTCTACACGTGTCCTTGCATCCAGATGTTGCTTTGGTTCACCGCCACTGCTTTTCCTTCATCAGCTCCTGCTGCAGCTGCCTTTCCCACTGCCTGTCCCTGGCAGAACCAGAACTGATCACTGCCTGGAAGGTGCTGCCATTTACCTCAATGCCCAGTCCAGTTGTTGACCCAGAACAGAATGCTTTTTACCTCCTTAGCGCCATCACCACTAGAACACAGATGCTTGCTCTTGTGATCTGGGCACAGGAGGTCTTCTAATCTTAAAGCAAGCTATGGAATCCAGAGTGATTCCATTGTTCACACTACAGGAAACACCAGGATTTCTTGCAGACTCCAGAGGAAACT